ATAGAATTGTGAATGGAGCAAGGCAAAAATGCCAAATTTCAGAGCACAAGTCCATGTCTATTTGCATACATACCTTCAAGACTGCCTACTGCCACATACCTCCCAGCGGCCAGTAAGATCCCACAGGGTGGGCCTCCTTCGGATACCGTCAGCCGGATAGTGTCGGCTGGGGGGGCCCTCGGAGGAGAGCCTTCTCTGTGGCTGCTCCGACCCTGTGGAATCAGCTACCCCCGGAGATCCAGACCTTGCCCACTCTCATGGCCTTCAGGAAAGCTGTNCAAAGCTGGCTGAGGACCTCTGGGAGTTGAAGTCCACAAGTCTTAAAGTTGCCAAGATTGGAGACCACTGGTCTAAATCATCCTAACCAGGACATTTCTTGCCATACTGTTACTCAGGACTTGGTTATAAGACATACAGCTAAGCCAATAAGCCGATGTGGTTTTTATTGTACTTGTTTCCTTATTTTAAAATTATATTTGGTGTAATTAGCATTAACAATGATGGAAAGGCAAAAGGGGACATTTTGGCATCTCTTCTTTTATTGTGTGGTCATGACATTTGAATATGTTTTTACTTGCTCTTCTGGCTTCCCTTACCTTTGTTGTTAGTATTTCTCCTCCTAAGAACAATTTTCACGGAGTGAGTAAAGTACGTTATGTTAAATGGCACTTAAATTGTCAGTTCCTGCTACTGTAGCACTTACATCTAGTAACAGAAAGTGAACAGTTCACTTATTAGCCAAAATAGAACCAAATGACATTCTGAACATAGGATGTGAGTTAATCCCACTGACCATATTCCTGAAACATTACAGCATAAGATTTGTCCCAAATGTGCTTTTCCAAAAACTTTCTTGGTTTTCTTTCTGAACTACAGAACTGAAGAAGTTTCTTGAATGAGAACCAAAATGTTTTCCAAAAACCAAGTCCAGTTGCCTTTAGAATCCCTGGCCTGCATGATTACCTCCAAAGACATTAAACATAATATATGTTTGCCCAATGTGGATCATATTGTTGTCCAGTCTAAGAGCAAACTTTAGTTAGATGATGTTATATCACATATTGCGAGTATATTAACCTAACCAGGCACAGAAAAGCACATCGGAAAGAATGTAGATAATATACAGTTTGGCGTATTCAATGACTAAATATAAATGAAATCAGTTCTACTTCTGTTGTGATGTAGATTTATTGCTAAAACACCTATTTTTATTGTTTCTTATCCTTTGTTTAATGTTGGTTCTCATGTTTCATCATTATCCTTCTAAAGCAGTGTTTCTCAACCTTGGCAACTTGAAGATGTCCGGACCTCAACTCCCAGAATTCCCCAGCCAGCATTCGCTGGCTGGGGAACTCTGGGAGTTGAAGTCCGGACATCTTCAAGTTGCCAAGGTTGAGAAACACTGCTTTAGAAGGATAATGATGAAACATGAGAACCAACATTAAACAAAGGATAAGAAACAATAAAAATAGGTGTTTTAGCAATAAATCT